GAACTAGGTGCATAAGCTGGTAGGAGACTAAACAGGTTCCAGGAAACATCTGTCTGCTCATGCTTAAAAATCTAATTGCCAGGCAGCTGTCCAATAACTTACCCTTTCACCTGTGCCTGGCCACAATAATTTCAATGAAACTTACTTTCATAGAGTATAATTGTGCTCAGCTGCTTGCAGAAGGTTGTATTTTTCTGTAATTATAACATTTGCTGGTGGCTTGTATTCAGAGAAACAGGTTTTACTTGTTGTTGTACTTGTGTAGTCCAGTTCATACTTCTTGGTCTGCTTCTCTGTTTTGAATTTACTTTGTAAAAGCTATCTCTTGAATGAAACTTTTTTTTTTTTTTTTTTTACAGTTTATAAAGATAGTGGGCATAGAAATTGCAAAATCTGAGCTAGTTGGCATGGATTGTAACAAAATGTAGCTTTGACACATGCAAAAGGTTCTAGATTCTTTACAAAAGGGGTTAAAATCTTTACTCTGACATACCTGAATTGGACATGCTGCATGTATGGCACTACCTCTTAGAACATTTGCTGTTTTCCTGTGCAATTGCTTAGACCAGTACTCTTAGTGTAAGTATATGCATGTGGCATTAAGTGGGTGATTGTTACATGACTTATCTGTGTGGTCATATTGATTTTCTTAATTAATATTTTTTTTCCTAAACTAACTGAACTTGCCACTTAAGTTGCTGTTAGTTCTGATATTGTACTTGGAAGATAAAATTACATAAAATTATTAACTTGACTAACTTGTGGACAAAAGTCAGTCACAAGAATGTTATCAACCCTTTATGAACATACATGACCAAATGTAAGCTTTTCTTATAGTTTGTGTTGTAGATGTACTTTTGGCCAAATTGGAATGTTTGGGTAAATTTTTTTCTTTATGGTCTCCATATTATCTTAGTAACCACAAGTATATTTGTGCTGAGTGTAAAGCCATCAGGTTTATGGATTTTAAAGGGAACAAGGTCATTGAAATTTGTCCAACCTAATACAGTTAAGATAGGTTTAATTAATGCAAGCTTTCAGCATTTAACTAACATTCTTGGTTACTTCCTCTAACCTGAAGTTGATCCTAACAACTAAAAGCAGTTGTTTACTACTACATTCTAAATAATGTGGCCCAACTGTTTAAGAGAAAATACATAGGAGAAGTCAACACAGTAATCTTCTGTGACCGTATGCTGGTGTTTGGCCCACTTTAGAGGGCAGCAGAGGCTGTCAACAATTTGCCCCATAAATCTCACTGATAGCCTTGATGTAGGTACCTTTCTGTCCTAACAGTAAGTCTATTGTTCACGTATTTTACTGAAGTGAAACTAGTGATGAAGAGTTATAGCTGACCAGTATTTATGAGGATTGCATTAGATGCTTTCCTTTTATACATGTATAATACAGTGCCTTTTTTAGCAAAACAGTTCTGCCTCATTTGGGAGTGACAGTATGTTAGAAGACAGTATTACCGTCTGCTCTCCTGAGTGAAACAAAATTGTGAGTTTTGAAGATTGACTTCCTTATTATAGCTAATTATTCAGTCATCCTGAATTTTCTTTCATAAAGCCAAGCCAGTTAGTGATTAGACCTTTCTTAATTCTTCTCAATTGTATGAATGTGTGGCTCATTAACAATGTAAAACTCATTTTTAGTATCAAGTTCTATTGCACAAGTTTGTCTCATGACTGATACAGGTGTTTGAAATACTCTGGGTCTCATTCATGTTGAGCCTCTGTTTAAGAGCCTGTGCTAACAGTTTCAGTCTGCATGATACAATAAGTTATAGTTGATTTGAGCTTTCTAAAGCTTAAAGTGGAGTGTAAAGTCTGTCTTGATCCAACTTGGTTATCAAGGTTGCTGATTAAAGCACATGGTCACCATGTGCTTAGCATGCAGTGGTAGTAACAGTTTTGTCACTGAATTTTTCAGCTTGCCTAAAGTTGTTAAAAGACGTGTGAATGCTCTCAAGAACCTTCAAGTTCAGTGTGCACAGATAGAAGCAAAGTTCTATGAGGAAGTTCATGAGCTGGAAAGAAAGTATGCTGCTCTCTATCAGCCCTTATTTGACAAGGTATTTTGGTGTTAATCTCATTTGTGCTTCAAAGCTTTAGCTAAAACATGGGGGAATATAAATTGAAAGCTTATGCATGTTCTGAATTATTTTGGGTTTGTATGTGCCCATTCAATTACATTGACGTTTTACCATACGTGTGAATATCAACTGAAATTAAGGGGGAGAGTTTCAGTCTATTACCAGATTAACTTCAATACCCCAGACCTCATCAAGTTCTGAGCAGATGTCACGTGATATGTTAACCTATCTGGAACTCTGCTTATTTTAGTGTGTTGAAAAGCTTGTAACTGCCGAGTCATCTTCTAGGGCCAGTAGAAAAAGAAATTCATAAATAGTTAATGTATTACTAATTGTGTAACTTTAAAGTTAATGATGTATTGGTTGCAATATTGTGAAATGTGAAAATATTTTTGGTTTAATCTTCCAGCGAAGTGAAATCATCAATGCAATTTATGAACCTACAGAAGAAGAATGTGAATGGAAAGCAGATGTTGAAGAAGACATTTCAGTGAGTATCTTAATCAGTTCTCATCAGTATCTCAAGCTTTAGCATTAAACAAGCTGCAATACAGTAATTGCAGTTAAAAAAAATCAGGTGTGTAGTGATTACTTGCTTATAGTAATGATAATTCTTTATGAATGCACAGAGTGTGTATGAAATAATCTGTACTGGTATCAATATAGAACTGTAGTGAAATTTGCACTCTTTTAAAATTAAGAAAAACTAACATTTTTATTTTATTAAGGAGGAAATGAAAGAGAAAGCCAAGCTTGAAGAAGAAAAAAAAGATGAAGAAAAAGAAGACCCTAAAGGAATTCCTGAGTTTTGGCTGACAGTATTCAAAAATGTGGACTTGCTCAATGATATGGTTCAGGTAGGTGATGGTCCAGGCTTCTATAAAGTTGTGTTAGTACTTAATCCAAGTGCCTTTTGGAAAGGAGTAGAAACAGTATGTTACTTGATGTGTCTGTTGGAGAGCGAAAAAGGAACAAGTATTTGGGTGTCATCTCTTGTACTTTATTCAACTGAGAGCACAGAGGACTCTGAAATACCTTCTTACTGTGTTATTTGTTGAAGTTAGTTTACCTTACTGATACACTTTCTGTCCTTATAGGAGTGTATGAGGTATATCTTAGATATTGCTACAAACTGTACTAGGTGTTTGCAGGGATTTTTTGTTGTGTACTGCAGTGGAAACTGTACAGCCATTGTTGCCATCTGCTGGTCACATTCATGAAGATGCTTCAGTGCTGTAAAAAGGCTCTTGTCCTATGCAAAACTCTTTCTAAATATGGCTTTTTATCTTTGCAGATAATCTTAAACTGTGTACGGTTACAAAAATGTAATTGTTTTCTTTACAGGAACATGATGAACCTATCCTGAAACATTTAAAAGATATAAAAGTGAAGTTTTCAGAAATTGGACAGCCTATGGTTAGTTGAACTTATTAAACAAGATTACTTTTGTGTTAAGACTTCTATTTGTGTATTAGTAGTGTGGTCTGTGATAGCTAATTGTCTTATGGCAGTCATGAGAAATGCTTCTGCTTCTTGTCCTCTGAAAAACAGCACAAGGATCAGTACTAGTCTTGTAGTGTCATATGAATTAATTTAGACATTGAGTTAATAACTTGGTCTTAGCATCTGATGACTTTTTTTCGCCTTTAAATTTTGATAACCTTCAGGTACTTTTTGTGTAACTGTTAAAATTGGATATAATTTTCTTGTCAGAAATGAGATAGTTTGCTTAGTTTTAGTATTTTAAATTTAGCAGTAAGTTCCGTATGCTAGCACCAGAAAAGCTGCACACTGGGAGACCTTGTGTCATGACTGCAAGAGGTTTACTAAGTAATACGCAGAAGATCAACATGGTATATAAACATTTGATTATTATACAACTTGGGCAGCAAATTCCAGAATAAGTTAGGTATGTGCACCATTTCAGTATTGGTAGAGATGGTTATGTTCTGCTGCAATTTTTTAATTTGGATTTTAAGTATTTGGACATTAAAGGTACATGTTGCTAAATTGCTAATGTTATCACTCTGCCATTATTTTTAAGAGTTTTACTTTAGAATTTCACTTTGAACCAAACGAGTACTTCACAAATGAAGTGTTGACAAAGACATACAGAATGAGGTCAGAGCCAGATGATTCTGATCCCTTCTCCTTTGATGGACCGGAAATTATGGGTTGTACAGGGTAAGTGCTAATAAATAACTTTAAGGCAATGTAACAATTTTTTTCTTATCGTTAGCCAACTATAGGTTTACAGCATCTTGGAAATGTGCTGGAAAAGACATTGCTACCTAATAACTTGTGAACAGCTGGGTTTGACTTGGGTTTCTTTAGTTTATTTCAGTATCTTCAATACAACATGGAAAGCTATATATTTTCTCATAGAATGGGTAGGAAAAGACCTTTTAAAGATCATCTAGTCTGATTTGTCTTCGATGAGAGGGGACCTCTTCTACTAAATTAGGTTGCTTAGAGCACCATCCAGCTGGACCTTGAACTTACCCAGGGACAGAGAATCTACAGCTGCTTTGAGCTGCTTGTTCCTGGTTTTTATCACCCTCATGTGAAAGCTGTCTTCCTTACATCTAGTCTGAATCTACCTTATTTTATTTTAAAACAATTACCTCGTGTCCATCTTCTCATCTGCCGGTATCCTCCAGTCCTTCTCTGCAGGGCTGCTCTCAATCCCTTCATCCTCCAGCCTGTATTGATACTGGACCAGGGGTTGCCCTGACGCAGGTGCAGGACCTTACACTTGGCCTGTTGAACCTGATGAGGTGCACTCAATCCCATTGTGTCATTTATGAACATACTGAACAGTACTGGTCACAATACAGACTCAAGGGACACTACTTGTCACTCATCTCCGTCCAGACTTTGGGCTGTTGACCATTAGTCTCTGGATGTGACTATCCAGCCAATTCCTTATAAACATAATAGTCTATGCAGCAAATCCGTATCTTAACAGTTTATACAGATTGTCCGTGAAGACTGAGATAAAAAGTTTTTCAGTACCTCGTCTTTCTCCTCTCTTGTTACAAGTTGTGTTCAGTAGAGCGTACTTTCTATGACACTTTCTTTCTGACTGACATACCTGTAGAAGCCCTTCTTATTATTCTTCGTATCCCTTGCCAAGTTCAGCTTCAGCTACCCCTTGGCCTTCCTGACCCCATTCCTACACAACTGAGCAGCATCCCTATACTTTTCCCAAGATACCTGTTCCTGCTTCCACTGCATTTCCTTCTTGCCCTTCAGTTTAACCAGCAGATCTCAACTCAGCCATGCCAGTCTTCTACCTTCCTTTTCTGATTTCTTATATGTGATGATTGAAAGCTCTTCTCCTCTGAGGAGAGCATCCTTAAAGGATATGTAGAATATATACCTTATATATGCATATAAATAAGAAAAACCTAATTGATATTTATCTAGAAATACTGTTCTGCAGTCACTAAAGCTGAATTGGAAGATGGATGGTGTTATCTTTGTTCACCTTGGCAGCTTTTTTCAAAATGTTTGATCAGATCTTTTAATCTTTTTGTATGACATGTAGCATTGCACAAAATCTATTACGTTTTAATTTCTGTATTCTGGTTGCCAGGCTTGTTTTAGATCTGTTGAATGTTTGCCTCTGTCTTTCAGTTGATCTGTTTGATTAGAAGAACAATCATCTATTAATTCCAGGTTCCTTGTGATTTTAAAGATCTGTTGCATTCCTTTCTCTGCAGTGTCTCTTGTTCTGAATTAGCTGTTATTCTCTTTATTCTATGCATGTCCCTTGCAAAGAGAAGGGTGAGAGAAACCTGAGTCATACATAATGAGCCTTATGGGGTACATCAGGGTTCTGTGCATCATGGCCTGTTCAGTTGCTTTTGTGTTCATGTCAGATGTTCTGACCGCT